AAAAAGAAAAAAAAAAGAAGAAAAAAAAAAAAAAAAAAACTCGGCGTTGCCAGTCTGAGTAGTCGGGCCGTGTAGTCCGGCACGTTGCGCTATACGTGCCGACTACATTGGGATGGATGACGCTAGATCCGTGCTATCTCGACCGCGCAAGAACGCGCGTCCCGTAGTTCCCTCGGCGCAGAGCCTGTTGCAGCCGGACAGGTCGCCGATGATCTGGCCGACGTTCGGCATCCAAGATCCGAGCGGGCAGTCCCACATTAGAGGCGAGGCGGCGAGGATCGCGATGTTGCCTGGCGCAGAGTTGCCGAAGAAGGTCGTGTTGCGGAGGATCGAGCCGGAGGTAGCGATGCGGGAGGAGAAGAAGAGTGCAGCGGGGGTTCCGCTCGCGATGCTGTCGACAAACTGCGAGTTGGCGAGAGCTAGGCGCTTGATGCCATTGAGATAAAGAGCCTACAAAAGAAAGAACAGGGTCTGGTCTCCCGCTTCAGTCTCTGCACCCTCTTGTGGAGGGGGCGCGCGGCACCGCTTGAACGTGACTCGTGCAACGGACAAAGCGGGCGCTCTCCAGCGAGACGTCGCCGCTGTTCTCCACGCTCATACCTCCTCCCCACTGCGCAAGTTGGGGCGGGAAGGCGTAAGCGGGGAGGGCGAGAGAGCGAGAGAGGGCGGGCAGGGCCCAGAGCGGCCCTTTTGGGGAATGCGTCCCCCGTTTGCCGAACCATGTCCCTCTGCCTTCTTCTGCCGCTTCCGGCGCGGCGATGGCGTGCGAGCGTGCGTGTGCGGGGGAGGCGAGCGTGCGTGTGCGGGGGAGACGCACAACAGCCGTGCATTCGCTGAAGCTGGCGCCGTCCAGCGAGACGACGCCGCTGTTGAACACGCGCATACCTCCTCCGTACTGCGCGAGTTGGGGCGGGAAGGCGTAAGCGGGGAGGGCGAGAGAGCGAGAGAGGGCGGGCAAGCCCAGAGCGGCCCTTTTGGGGAAGGCGTCCCCCGTTTGCCGAACCATGTCCCTCTGCCTTCTTCTGCCGCTTCCGGCGCCGCGATGGCGTGCGAGCGTGCGTGTGCGGGGGAGGCGAGCGTGTGCGGGCGTGGGAGACGCACATAGGCACCCGCGCACTCGCTGAAGCTGGCGCCCTCCAGCGCGACGTCGCCGCTGTTCTCCACGCTCATACCTCCTCCGTACTGCGCGAGTTGGGGCGGGAAGGCGTAAGCGGGGAGGGCGAGAGAGCGAGAGAGGGCGGGCAGGGCCCAGAGCGGCCCTTTTGGGGAAGGCGTCTTCGTTTGCCGAACCATGTCCCTCTGCCTTCTTCTGCCGCTTCCGGCGCGGCGATGGCGTGCGAGCGTGCGTGTGCGGGGGGGGCGCGTGTGCGGGCGTGGGAGACGCACCCCGCCAGCCGTGCACTCGCTGAAGCTGGCGCTGTCCAGCGAGACGACGCCGCTGCTCCACACGCTCATACC